AAAGTAAATTTAATTAGGCTTGCATGAAAGACATATGGAAAGATTGATACTCTTGATTAATTGGTCGTTTAAAAAGAAGAAGATAGTCTTACTAGTTATTTTCATATTTTACACGTACACAATTCAGTTGTGTATAAAAAAGTTGAGTTCAAATTTAGCAAAACTCATTTTCTCCAAAAAGAAGAAGAAGATAGTCTTAATAGGCTTTCCCTATTTCAGACGTACAGAATTTAATAGTGTATAAAAAATTAAGAAGTTGATGTTTAAAAGAAAAAAAAAAGGTTCAAATTTAGCAAAACTTATTAATTACAATATTTTTTCTAAATCTAATGAAAATTAACCAACCTTTTACTCAATGGTCGTAAATTCTGCTTGATTTCTTACCAACAAACGTATGCGCTCGCTCACAAACGTAAACTGAATATAGAGAAGATAACGAGTAAGAAAATGGCTTCTCCTTGGTTGTTGATATTCTCTCTCTCACTACTTTGCCTCCATGGAAATTATCAGTCTATTAGGGTATGTCACAGTTTTGTAAATAATTTGATAATGTAAACATAACTATATATGGTAACCTATTAATATAAACTTATCACATTTGCAGCCCCAAAAATCTGAATTTGAATGCATCGATATCCACAAACAACCTTCACTACAACATCCTCGACTAAAAAATCATAAAATCCAAGTACGTGACTTTATATATTTACATCTTTGTATTGATTGCACATCTCAAAATTTTTGTCATGATCGTTTAATTTTTTGTTACATGCGATCGCATAGATGAGACCAAGCAATGAAATCTTAACCATGTTATCGATTGACGCATCATCAAAAAATTTATCAGACGATGAATTGGTAGCAGAATTTGATGTACCTAAAGAAGGATGTCCTAAAGGACAAGTACCAATCCATAAACCAAAAAAGTTTAACTACACTGAAAAACATTTTCACCCTAATAGCTATGGAACTATTGGTGAACATGTAAAGTAAACTAAACTTTTTATACCTTTACTATATGATCCAAAGCCATTTGATGTATATCTTTATATATAGGCTGCTTTTATTCACAAAACTGAAGCCATCCCATGGCGTGGAGCATCAGCATGGGTTGGTGTTTACGAACCTAAAGTGACTAAAGACCAAGCCAGCTTGGTTTTGCTTTGGCTCGAAAATGGGCACAATGGTGAACTCAACACCATCCAGTTTGGTTGGGCTGTAAGATTTTTTTGTTTGACAAGTTTTAGATTTAAGATAAACAATCAAATGATTGTCGCATCCCATTTAACAAAGCCGTTTTCAGCATATACAATTGGTTTTTCCTTGATTTTCTAAAACTTAAATCTTTTAACATACCAAAAAACACTTTTTGATAAGAATTTTGCACATAATTTACCTTTGGATTGTTTGAAATAGTCTTGCCAAACATGTTAATCTAGACTTTTAGGTACTTCCTGAAATATATGGCGATGATCGTACAAGACTTACTGCATATTGGAGTGTGAGTAACAATATCGATATTACTCATAATTTTTACAATAAAGTTGAGATTTTGTTTTGTTTATTTCTTGTATCTATGTATGAGTTTCTCTTCTCTAACCACAAATAATTTTGTAGCCAGATAATCGTGACTATGGGTGCTACAATATACTATGTAAGGGATTCGTTCAAGTCCACTCGAAAGTCTTTCTTGGTGCTGCATTTAAGAACATCTCTGTGGTCGGAGGTAAACAATATAACGCCTTCCTTGCAATCAATCAGGTATATTAACTGAATTTTTTAAGACTAAATCATCAGTTTGATATTGATTTATTGTGCTTTCATAAAACAAGGGGCATTCATTGTTCAACATGGAAAAAAAACTGAATAGATTTGGAACTAATGAGAAAATTTAGTTGAAATTTGAGAAAAACATAAATTTTCTTTGAATTATTTTCAAATTTAGATTACATATTCGATAAAGAAAACTGAAATCAAAATTATACGAAACCAATTAATTTATTTCAAACTTGGTGAGTATTATTACTGAAACCGATAAACATGAACCAAAATTCGGATAAAACTTGTGAGATGACTTAACAAATTCATATAGTTTTTAATTTACTAAAGCTAAAACATTTTGTTTTCATGTTTTTTTATCAACACAAACGATAGGATCCGAAAACGCAGAACTGGTTGTTAACAAATGGAATGTTCTACCTAGGATATTGGCCGGGGGATCTTCTACCTTATTTCAATGAAGGAGCAAAGGAAGTTCGGTACGGTGGATTCACGGTTACACAAACTGAAAACTTGCATTCATACGAGATTGTTAGTCCGCCGATGGGAAACGGAAATAAACCACTAGACGATGAAGTGAATCTAAAACATACTTGTTACATGCATTTTATAAAATATGTGACGCATGATTATCGAAGTGTCGACATTGATTCCAACAAAATTAGTGAGGATGCCGACTACGTGAAATGTTACGATTTGAATTATCTTAATAATTTTGGATCTCGTCATCGGCAAACTTTCACATTCGGTGGATCCGGTGGTTTCTGTGATGTGTGACCTTTGTTTTGGGAATATTTCATCTCGTTTCAGTATATCTCTATTACTCAATAAATTTGTATTTTGAATTCCTAATTTTTAAGTCGATTTCAGAGTATTATATGTATTTTTATATTTTTAAAATGTTACTGTATAACCAAATCATATATATAGTTTTGTTAATCGAGAGTCAAAACCCAGACTAATCCCCGAAACCTATAAAAATTCGTTTTTTTTTTTGTCACTGGAAGCATCTACGATTGGCTGAAGATGATTAGTGTAACCACAACATACATATTGACATCAAAGCTAGAGATATTCACGTCACATTTGATCGTAAATTTCTTGAGCTTTCTTGCCAATACACACGCATATACATGCTGTATATACATATTTATTTACATCTAACTGATTTGTGCTAACGAAACTTTTGAACATCGG